TTTTTTAACAAAATGAGATTTAAGACAAATTATAAATAAATGTGTCCTTTTATTATTGCTTGGACAAAATGCTGTACATTTCTTTGTGAAATTGAAATATAACACTATAATAATATACTAATATAGCACTTGCATATTATTGCTCTTTTGTTGGTTTTGATTGCTTCTATTGTTTTCATTTGTAAGTCGCTTTGGACAAAAGCGTCTGCTAAATGACAACATTTAAATATAATATAAATAACAAAACTACATTGAAATTTTAAAACAAGCCCCAAATCAAATAAGTAACACAAATAAAATAAATCTCTTAATATAAACAAAATGAGGCTTTGTCTGGGCTGTTTCCATTTTAAAATTAGAGGCAACCACTGCATTTTAATCATGATCCAAACAAAGATGCTGCATACATGCAACATGAGCAGTTTTTAATCTAAATTGGATTGTAAAATTTCGAAATTTCAAGCAAAAACAAAATAATTTGACTTCAGCTTTGTGAAACCATACATAAAAATATCTGCATGAAACAGTGAATCTAATTGTGTATGGACATGTTGAGGTGACCCTTTTACTTGTGCTGTCTTGGCATAAGCCCTCACACCACATTAATTATGAATGGTGCCCCATGTGGCTCACGGTAGATTGCCGCACCCTCTCCTCTTATTGTCAGTTCACCATCTACACTGACATTGGCATGTTAACGTTATGTGCATCAATTTGAACCATTGGGATTCAAAGATGCAGAGTTCTGACTGCCTTTGCAGTCCATCTCCTTCAAAGACACGCAAGTTGTAATAAACAGATATATTGGCCATTCAAACTAGTTGGTCAATATTTTGAAAGTGTTAGTGTATGTGTGTGTGTGTTTATGTATGCGTTTAGCACATACGATTCTGCCTCAAGCAGGAAGTTGGAAAGTCTAAAAGGCTGATTGTGCACTTAATGCTTTAGTTATTCTCTGCAAGTTAGGGCATGGCCTTGAATAAACCTTCCAGTTTGAACCACAATCTAATTTAGTAATGTTTGTGAAACAAGTATAAAGCCTATCATTCGGAAACGCTGTGTTTGTGGAGAGTTGGTTGCTCACATTTGTCTGTTTCTCTCTGTAGTTGCGCAACAATGGCTCCTGGTGTTGCATTGTAGCCTGCTCTTAAGTCTGACAGGAAATATTGCTTAAAAGGTGCAGGTGGATATTAGAGAAAGTATCTGGTTTTACCATCTGCTCACTGAATCTTTAATTTCTTGGGCTCTTCTAAGGGGCTGGTTCTGAGGGGTGAGGACGCGGGACCAGACTCGATGAGTTTCCAGCGAAATGTCCGAGAAGTCAGGGCAGAGCACCAAGGCAAAGGATGGCAAGACCAAGTATGCAACCCTTAGCCTCTTCAACACGTACAAGGGCAAGTCTCTGGAGACCCAGAAAACTGCAGGTGAGTCAACTGACCATTCTTACAAACAAGCTGGTGATACTTACTAGGGCTGTGTATTGCCTACGATACGATACGTATCCCGATACAGAGGCCATGATATGTTACGTATCACAATACGGGACTGCACTAATTTTCACCTCAGCAGAATTTAGTAAAACAGCTGTTTATTTAACACTGCATACCGTATTGACCCGAATATAAAACACTTTTTTTTTCTTGGAAATACATCTGAAAAAAAGCTTGTCGTCTTATATTCAGGGTCTAGACTTTGACATGTCAATAATACACCCACAACAATAGGTGGCGCCAAATACGCATAAAACGAGTGTGCCATGAAATATGTAATGTAATGCGTGTTGTAAAGATCGCGAGTAAAAACAAGAATAAGAAAACCTTACAGCTGCATGAGTCGTGACTGTCACATTAGCCTGATGGGACCAAACTCCCTTTGTGATTTTAAAACGTAAGACAGTACCCAGATTTAAAGACTACAGTAAGATTTAACTTCTACTGTTAATAAGATTTTGGTAGGCTACTATTAGATGGATAGCCTAAATGTCCTAATTCAGATGGGCTACCTGTTTTTTTTTTTAATGGTATATCAAAAAGTGTATATTTTTTAAATGTGATTGTTGGTACATTTTACCAATTTTTACCATACTTTTTTAAAACTAAAATTTAAAATAGGAAAAATATGCAATATGAAAATAATTGAAGACAAAATGTGTTTTACTGAGAAAAAACAAGATTTGGTTTTTAAAAAGCCTTTTTCCAAAATTTCTTATTATCAGGGTCGTCTTATATTCAGGCCAATACGGTACTATAGGGCTATTGCTAACTACAGGCAGAGCAGGCAGTAGACCTCTGCATTATAACCGGCCTCCATAACTGTACCACAGTATAATAATATAGGTAATGGCATATGTTTCATGTTTACATTGGGCACTCCCCACCAGGTACGATATTATGGTTGTTTGCATCTTGTTTTTAAGCCCATAAATAATCATGTACTTGTTCTAATATATATTGGAATGTACTCATTCTATTACATTAATAAAATCACCTTATATTGCTGGTAGGTTATCATTGCACAAATTAACACACTCCCTACATTAAAAAAAAAATAAAAATAAAAAAATAAAAAAAACATTGGAAGCATTCTTAACCAATGCGCTGTCTTCACTGTAGCTCATGTGCACACATTCAGTCCCTCAAACAGATCACACTGCGTGCGCACACAGACATTCAGCAACACAGAAACTTTAGCGCTGCCCTGCAATTTCATCAATAAAAGAGCTTCACTGCTGAAGAGCTACTTTATCTTTCTTGGCAAAGATTTGGTTACATAATTTCTGAAGCAATTAAAGCCACCGCTTCACTGTTAAGGCTGATTTATACTTCTGCGTCTGACCTACGCCGTAGCCTCTATGCTGTAAGCTATACGTCGGTTTTCATTTATACTTCTGCGTCGACGTGCAATTACACATGCAGACCGCTAGTATGCAGTGTCCACGGGCATGTTGATGGTGCAAAAACCGAAGAAGCAGCTTGTCGGAGAAGCATCAGCTGTGATGGCGGCATATAAATATCCAAGAACAGATCATTTATTTAAAACTACAAAAGGAGACAACAACGGAACAGGAGAAGATGGCACTCTTAATCTCCACAAGGACGTGTACCATGGTGGAACAACATTGTTTGTCGCAGACTAGGGCTGGGCGATATTGGCAAAAATTTATATCTCTGTATTTTCATTTTTGTATTTGGATTTTTTAAAAAAAATCTGTATTTTTATATATATACCCTTTTGATCTAATACAGCCATGAGTCTTTTTGGGAAAGATGCAACAAGTTTTTCACACCTGGATTTGGGGATCCTCTGCCATTCCTCCTTGCAGATCCTCTCCAGTTCTGTCAGGTTGGATGGTAAACGTTGGTGGACAGCCATTTTTAGGTCTCTCCAGAGATGCTCAATTGGAACTATGAAAACAAATAAAGTGAATGTAACCAGCCTTTATATTATGTGCAAAAGGTAAAATCATATTTCGTTCTAACATTGTAACATTGCAATCTAAAAACAAAAATAAGGCTTTTAAAGCTGAGGTTAAATTCACTAATCTTAAAAATTAAAATGAATGAGTTCTGTTGGGCTATTTTGATAACCCCATTACAGTCACTTTACAGTCAGTGCTATCATAAAAATACACTTACTTGTAGGTTTAAAATTCTCCATGTCACATTTATTGACCAACTACAAATATTTCAGCGAAATTTATATTTTAGTCAGAATTATTGCGCTCCTATTTAATTGCGCTCGCTCACTGAAGTCTGTGAAGTTTAGCAGAGAATCGCAAAGCAGAAGGCTCATGCCACTCCTGACAGCAAAATGGAAATATTTCCATGACTTTCTAACATTTACAGATGGAGAATATACCTGTGAAATGCAAGTTATGCATTTAGGAAAACAGCACATCTCAAACACATTAAACAGCGCGAGTAGCCTAGTGTCTCTTGTCAGCGGCACACGCAGACTTTCTGTCCAAGCATCTGATGGGCCGAGCCGCTTAATCTATGCGAAACTATAAACTATACTATGTCTTACCAGTTTTTAAAGGCCTTAATATGAAGCTTGTCCCATGCTTAGAACAAATTGGATTATGCACTTTCTCCTCAGCAGCTCAGTCTGTGTCCTCCGCTATATTTTCAGATGCGCTCGTATCAAACTACTGTATATCGAGATAAACAGTATTGCCTCATATCGAATCGCTTATAAAGAAAATATTGATATCATACAAACTCGATATACCACCCAGCCCTATCGCGGACAACTGTATAATGCTATGTTGAAAAATAAGACACTTGTTCTTTGCTTTATTTTAAATAAGAAGGTGTACATGAAAGTATGTTAAAGTGCAAAAAACGCACACAAAACTCAAATACATTCAGAGGGAGGGGTGCTAGCAGACCAATCACAGCGCTTGTGGTCTGCATAGAATTGACACGTTGTAACATTTCTGGAGAGGTGCACGTCAGGCTACGCCATAGGCTACGCGTGCTATGCACAACCTATGATGTAGCTACGGCGTAGTTTCGACGCAGAAGTATAAATCAGCCTTTAATAGAGAAATGCAGCAAATTCTTAAATACACCGTCTCTCTCTCTCTCGTAAATGAACATTTTTATGAGAATAGTATATCGAATTGGAGATCGCCAAACTGCAAGCTTACCATTGTTTTCAGAAAGCCAGCGCTTTTATCCACAGCAGAGAGTGCGTGGACATGGTTACCAGGTTGACAAAAAATAAGTATGCTAACACGCTTATCAGGTTATTCCGTATTGCACAAGTGTGAAGCTCTGTGTCGGGGATTACGTCTCTTTATATCAGGCAACCCGGTTGGGTTCCTCTGCGGCCAGATTAAACCTAGTTGTAGCCTATATATTATACTCTCTTCATTATTTTTTTGTTTAGAAACCTTGCACTTTTCAATTTCATTTTTTAAACTTAAATTCTTGTATTCAAATAAAGTGCGGTCCAACATGCTGCGCACGTGCTGCAGTATCGATACTGAAACCGCTGTATCGATACCAGTATCAAACACCTGTGACGATACATCGTCGTAATCAATGTATCGAACACAGCCCTAATAATTACGGTGTTCTCTGTGGTGGGATGAATCTCTCGAAAGCTATCAAGAACATGTCCGGGTTACATTTCACCTCAAAATCTAAAATGGTGAACTGCATATTGCATAAAGACAATTAAGCAAATGGAAAAATGTTTGCATTAAAATGAATTCATTTGAATGCAGACAGTTCCTTTTTGGGGTCAGATGTGATCTTGCCAAATTGTGACTTGCACATTACTTGGGTAACATATTAAATTATTTGCTCTCTAACTCTTCATTCAGTAGAGTGTCAAGTGATGCACTAGATTCTTTGAACTGTCATTCATTGAGCTCCCCCGATCAGCCTCCTTTGCATCACTGGATCAAATAAGCTGCATTTTTCCACTCCGTCACTGCTGTGCATTCCTATGTGCTTTAAGAGAGAGACTGCCCAAGAACATTTGTTGTAAGATTACTACTGCTATTAACAATGTTCCTGTACAAATGGCGTTGACTTTTTGGTCAGAAAACTGAAATTTCAAGATTGAAAAGATTGGTGTATTTATGTCACCGGTAATGATTTTTTTTCTTCCACTTAGTTGCTGCCAGACATGGGCTCCAAAGTTTGGGCAAAGTTGCGGTCAGTCGGCGCATGCCCCCTCCGGCTAACCTGCCCAGCCTAAAAGCTGAGAACAAAGGCAACGATCCCAACGTTAGCATCGTACCCAAGGATGGCAGCGGATGGGCCTCCAGACAGGATCAACCAGGAGACGAACGGTAATACTCCACCCTGTTAAATGATGGATGTATTTCCTGTTGCAAGATCAGTTTTGGATGTTCCAAACATACTCTTTCACATTGTCTTGCTTGTTTTGTACTCATTAGATTCCTCTGTTCCACTGCCACTTCTTCTTTTTTTTTTTTATGATTGTAGGCAGCAAGAGACCCCTCCACCACAGCCCAAGCCAACTGTGCCCCAGACCTCTGATGCCCCTCTGGGAGGCAGCCGCTCCTGGGCCAACAGCAAACAGTCTGGGCAGCTGGATGGTAAGCCATTTCCTTTGTAAACCTTTTCATTGTCGTTAGCTCTCAAAATGCTACTCAGTGAACTGTAAATCCTTATCTAAACAAATTTAAGCCACAGAATAATCTTAATTAGCATGAGTTTTGAACTGCTAAAGCCATGTGCTTAAATGTTACTGTGTCTGCAGGAGCTCCTCGGATGAGCAGTCAGTTCCATCAGGAGTTTCCGAGTCTGCAGGCGGCAGGTGAGGCGGAGAAATCAGGCGATCAGGAAGATGAACCCTACGGGCCGGGCCCCAGCCTCAGGCCTCAGAGTAAGACCATCATCCTTCACATTTTCTTAAGAGCTTTGTGTAACATATTAGTTAAAACCGTTTAGAAAAAAGATATACATCAGTTTCTTAATGATAATTCATAAAAATAATCGTTATCACCCTTACGCTGGCCATTCATTTCCATTACCTACTCAGATGTGGGTAGCTGGCGGGAAGGTGGAGGCAGGAACTTAAACGTTGCTCCCAGCCCCTCAGAGACTGATGGTAAGCCCTCTGAGGAGTCAGGTGTGGGTCGAGGCACACCATCTCCCTCGGGGGACTCCGATGAGGCAGGGAAACCCTCTGCTGGGGAGGGCAAAGAAAGGAGAGATGCCAGAGACAGGCTCCCACCTACTGCCACTCAGCATAAACTCAATGGTGGCCAGCAAACAGCGAAAGGAATGTCATCTCAGTTCCAAGCTGCCCAGTTCAGGAGCATGATGCCGCCGTATGTAAGTGATGATTTAGCCATTGTGTATAATTTCATCTACCTGTTGAAATGTGACATGCTGCTGTGTATTGTTTTGTTTGGTACTGATTTTGTGAAGTCTATTTGGCAGTGCTATTTTAACCCTTTGAGCGGTACGGACCCACATGTGGGATTTTGAATGTTCGGTGATGTCACATAACTGCTACATTCAAACTGCTTTCGCGCTTTGGCTGCTGCTGAGACGCGCTCTACACTTGTCATATAACCACATAATGTTTACACAAAAGTACTAGTAAAACAATACATTTAGAGTTTGTAAAATACACATGGATGTCTATGGAAGCAGCAATAACAATCTATTCAAATATAGTTTGCCAACGTATTTTATACATATCAGATACACATAGTGTAAGTAACTATAAAGTTTACTCTATTCTTCTCCCTGTTCACCAGCCACTTACTTGCATGTATTTCGGGAGAAATTGATGAATTCACGTGTTGTAAATCCGGCTGACAGGACTCTCTGAACTTCAGTGCGAACAAACATGGCGGCGCCCATCTCACGTTATAGATCAAGCTCAATTATGTTTTTAAATGACACCACACACTCACTTACACATATTTGTGAATCGGAATATCAGATAGTCGATGACATGGTAAGCACCTGTATGGATATTTTGAATAAAGGAAAAACAAAATAAACGATCCATCTGTCATAGTGTTTTCGTGGCTGCGGTGTGTCATGTGACAAGCATGACGCGTCGCCATGGAAACATAAGTTCTAAAATAACGGTCGCCTAAAAAAAACTCACTCTGGAGGGACAGCTAGAATATTTTAAACTCACCAGTGAAAAGGTTAATGTGTCCTGTATCTTTTCAGATGTTCAATGCTTACCCTCGAGGGCCCTTTCCTCCTGTGCAAAGCAGCTTTAGATACCCTGGACAACAGGAGATGTCTAAGTAAGTGATCCCATAAGGTCTGAACTTAAATGGCTTTAAGATCTAGAAGCTAAGGTTGAAAGACAGTGTTATTTTGTCCTTTTTTGTTGCCATAAATAAAGTTGATGGGTCTGCTGTATTTAGAATAGACGTTGAAGTTACATTTACAGTGGAAGTATCCCAAAATACCAAATTGCTTGTCTTGATCAATAACTCACTTTCAACTGCTTTCACTTTCAACCCTTCAGACAATAAATTATTGACCTTCTAAATTTGTCTGAAGGGTTAAAAGTGAAAGTGCAAGCAGTTGAAAGTGAGTTGTTATTGATCAAGACGAGCAATTTGGTATTTTATGATACTTCCAGGCAATGTTTCCTCTAATTTTTTTTCTTGCTGAGCAAAACTTTTCTCTATTGGACGGACATTTCAGCCACTTGAGCAAAAACATTCTTTATACCAGACCTGTACCGTGTACACAAAATATTTTATAACTTTAATGTTCTATTTATATTTGGTGTGACACTTGATGTAACTAAATAATGCACATTTTAGTTTACCTGAGAGAACTTTTTTTACAGTGCTGTGTTGGCAAGAAATTCTATAAAAAAATTTTTTTTATAAAAATCAGAACAGTTTAATTCTTTGTAATATAATATTATATTATGTATTATAGTATAATAGGAAAAAATGAAGCAGATATTGCTCATGAATTCCCTTTTTGAGGTCAATTATTTATTAGGTTTATAATATTAATATAAAAACAAACTGAAGCATTTAAACTAATAGAATAGAACAGAAAACAAACTGAAGCATTTAAACTGATAGAACAGAAAACAAACTTAAGCAATTAAACTCATCCACTATTTCCACCACTTAATCAAGCCACTCTTCTTTTAAACACGATGACGTTTTATTTCACATGTCATTACGTTTGCGTTGGGTCTCGTGTTGAGCTATTTCGTTCACAACCATTCAAGTATTCCATTTCTACAGCGACTGATTTGTCGCACATCATTCTCTTTCTATGAATCCTGTAATCCGCATTCACCGGTTCTTACTCTACAGCAGTGGTTTTCAACCCGCGGGCCGCATGCGGCCCATCACAAATTCAAATGCGGCCCACACCATGCTGAACACAATTAAAAAAATAACTTTCAGTTTTAAAATTAATTTTAGTTTTTACATTGAAAAATGTACTAAACAAATATTAGCTATAATGGTTTTATGTAAATTTTGTTTTTCACATAGGCTACTGTATTATTTTCAGACATGAGCAGACCTGTAGCCTACTCACGTAATTAACGTTACGCATTTAACGAACACTTACAAGCACGCACTTTGGCAGAATTCAGTTCAAATAGTCATCAGCAGCCATTAGTTCGGTAAAATTGAGCATCAGAATGGACAAATTTGTTATTAAGGGAGAAAAACGAAGTGTGGAGAATGCCAGCGAAGGAACACATACAAACAAGAATAGTCGCAGTGAAGGTAGGAGAGTGCTGGACTTTCGGTTTACCCCGCCACTCGCTTGAAGATGTTCAGGCAAAAGGAAACACCCATACTACGCAGCAATCATCCTTAATTGCAGAAATGTGGCAAAACATCTCTGGAGAGAACCTCAGATTATTAAATTCGAAAGTGCTTTCCATATATGGATCAACATAGGCTACATTTGTGAACACACATTTTCTGCAATGTCGCGCGTCTTACAGACTGCAACTTCATTGTGCTGTTACTCCTTTCGAGCCGAATTTCACAAAATTGGTCCGCTCCCGACAGCAACAGGTGTTTTATTAATGGTGAGTAGAATTTATTTATTTCAATGAATGTAATCGATTAAATATCATGATGATTAGATATCATGTTTTGGCTATAATATTATAAATCTGGTTGGGTTGAATTGGTGATGTAATATGTAAATGATATGCTTCTGGCCCGTGCGACTTGCATTTGGACCATAGTGCGGCCCAATGGAAAAAAAGATTGCGAACCACTGCTCTACAGTGACACCAACTCTATAGCGGTTTGCCTGAGCATTGCAATTATTTCGCATTTACTGAAATTCAAATGGCTTTCCCAACTTAGTTTTTTGCGTATGTCCTGTGCATATTATTCTTCTGCGCGGTCGCGACGTAAGAATTGTGCGGCCGCACACGCGCACAGCTTAGAGGGTACATTGCTTCCAGGGCTTTGAGAACTTTGTAAAGTCTCTAGCCTTTTCCTTATTTCTCTCTTTTCTTTTCTTAGGGGTCCACGGTCTGGTGGAAGACCCTCCCAGGCTCCTTCTCAGTCATGGTTGCAGGATCCAGACAGGCCATCAATTGTTAGTGCCACTGAACTTAAAGAGCTAGACAATCTAGACACTGATGCTGATGAGGGTTGGGCAGGTGAGAATTACTTTTTTTATATATACGTCAAAAAAAATAAAAAAATAAAATATATATATATATAAGGGATGTAACGATTCACGATTCAATTCACAATTTTTTTTTTTTTTTTTTACAAAATTTGATTTAAGACAAATTATAAATTAAATGTGTCCTTTTATTATTGCTGGGATAAAATGCTGCACA